CTAAGGCACTTGACTGCTAACCAGAAGGCTGGTGGTTCAAACCCACCAGCCATTCCTTGGAAGGAAGATGGGGCAATCTACTTCTGTAATGATACTGCCTTGGAAACCCAAGTCCGACTTGACAGCACATAACAACAACAACAACATGGAAATGATCAGGGAATACAAAGAGGTCACTTCTAAATGTTTAGTTAAGTTTTTTTTGTAAAATTGTTTCTAAAGGAGCTGCTCTTAACCTTCAGGTTTTCTAAGAAACTAAATTTGTATCAGAAAGTGGTAGTTAATTTTCACTGCTTGTTTTGTAGCCTCTGATTACTACTCAGATTACCAGTAGGCCCTGGCATCCCAGGAAATGGAAGTAGATAGAAGACTCTTCATATTTCCCCTAAAGGAACTCTCTCCAGAGGCAGAAGGGAGGGTGTCCTCTTCCAATAGCAGGTTGGTTTTCAGATTGTGAGAAAATATGAACATCCTTTTCCATGTAAGAATAGTCTTAGATTCAGGCAGCTCAAGACAAAGGTCATTTGGGAAAATTTCTAGTCATTACAGACATTTGTTACCTTATTTTTCAGGAAACAGGAAGATTTTTATAGAAAGATTTCCACAGAGAGCCAGGCTTACATAAGTACCTCGATAGCAGTTTCCTGAATAAATATTTTCAGGAAGTGGGAGAACTGGAAGTCCTGATACTTTTCAGGAAGGGTTGCCGATCTACTCCTGTGAAATTTTGGAAGAGTTGTGTAAGGAAGAATAGGCATTTATTTATATAAAATAGAATTGAAATGAATAAAAAGGACCTTCTGTGGTGTGGAGGGGGAATAGAAACAGGTCTAAAGATTTTAGAGCATGGAAAAAAATCTGGTTCATGTGGACTATGAAGGCAAAAAGAAACAAAAAAGAAGAAATTATAGGAAAGAAGATTTTCAGTATGACATTTCCTAGGTTCAGAGATAATACACATTATTTAATTCATGTAACAACATCATTTGGGAGGAAAGGAACTATTATGCACATTAGTTTTAAGTTTAATTTAAACAGCAGAAACATTAAAATCTACCACAATCAAGGAAATAGGCAATAATTCACTATGTCTAATTTTTCTCTCCCCAAACTTCTCCTCCTCAGAAGGAGGATATTTGGCACTAAATGGGGGATTTTATTATCATTATTATTATTTTTATGGTAAAGATTGAGAGGAGAAGGTGCTACTGGAATCTAGTGGAAGAGACCAAGGATACTGCTAAACATCATAGAATGCACAAAGCAACTTCCCACAGCAATGATCCAGCATGAAATGTCAATAGCGCTGAGACTGAGATCCTGAAATTAAGAAAGTACTTATAATGCTGTTGTTGTTGTTGTTATGTGCCATCGAGTCGGCCCCGACTCATAGCGACCTCTCCTTGGGTTTCCGAGGCAGTATCACTAGGGAAGTAGGATTGCCCAACCTTCTTTCCGAGGAGTGGCTGGTGGGTTTGAACCTCCAGCCTTCTGGTTAGCAGTCAAGTGCTTTAGCCACTATGCTACCAGAGCTCCTAGTATTTATAATGTTGTTGTTGTTGTTGTTATTTGCCGTCGAGTCGCCCCCGACTCATAGCGACCCCTCCTTGGGTTTCCGAGGCAGTATCACTACGGAAGTAGGATTGCCCAACCTTCCTTCCGAGGAGTGGCTGGTGGGTTT